CCTGCTGCTGGGCTTCATGTCCTATGACAGGTACATAGCCATCTGCCAGCCCCTGCACTATCCTGTGCTCATGAGCAGGAAGATCTGCTGTTCCATGGTGTCCTGTGCCTGGAGCAGCAGCTCCATCAATGCTTTAGTGCACACGCTGTATGCATTTCAACTTCCATTCTGTGGATCTCGAATTGTGAACCACTTCTTCTGTGAGGTCCCATCTCTCCTGCCATTGGTGTGTGAAGACACATCCCAATATGAGCACACAATTTTAATGAGTGGCCTTGTCATTCTGATGCTCCCCTTCCTGGCCATTCTAGCTTCCTATGCTTGCGTGTTGGTTGTTGTATTCCAGATGCACTCAGGGAAAGGGCAGAGTAGAGCCCTGTCCACCTGCTCCTCCCATCTGACTGTGGCCAGCATGTTCTATGTTACCACTCTCTCCACCTACACCCAGCCACATTCCCTGCATTCTCCTTCAAGGGACAAGGTGCTGGCTGTGCTTTACTCAGTTGTCACTCCTGTTCTCAACCCCTTTATCTACAGCCTGCGTAACAATTAAGTTATGGGAGCCCTGAGGAGACAGATTGGTTGATGGTTGTTGGGGCTAATAATCTGGTTTTTCAATGCCTGGTGGATTGAAGATTCCATTCAAAACTGGTCATGAAAGCAGCCTATGTGGGTGAAAAGATCAGTGTTTGTTCTATAAAGGCAACAGAGAGACTGTATTTTCATCAAGCTTCTATATCTACAGAAGCCACAGTTCAGAATTTTGCCCTCTCAGTGGTACCATGATGCTGATGATTTGAAAAGTCCTATCCGGTATCCTGAAATACAATCCATAGGAAATAGTGTCTACCTAAGCTTTCAACATAACAGTGATTTATACAGTGTCTTAAGTCTGATACAGAGAATATCCTGGCACCTGATCACTCCACTACTCTCTCCATCAGGGGACCTTTTATATGTGAATATTTCATCCAGGGCCTCCAACAAAGCAAAGAATCAGAATAAGACTATGTGGGCAGAAATAAAATAGAGGCTAATTCTGTAATTAAGAAGGAACTAGCTCAGAACCATTAGGCCATGAGAGATGTGAGCCTTCCTAGGACGGTTACACAGCAGAGCCTCTCCATCACTTGGAAAGAAAGCAGTATTGGCAACAGAGGATTTGGAGGCTTCCTTTTCTCCATCACAGTTACTACTCTGTTCATATTCTCAGCCTTGTGTGATGTGGAAAGAAGGGACCAAGTATACAAGATACACTGCAGAGATTGTATCAGACCAAAACAAAGCTGCAAGGACATAAGGATTTACTGGTAAGACCCTACAAGGACAGGGATGGAGCCAGTGGTACTCAGCTCACAGAACCTAGTGGCTACTCTCTCTTTTCCAGCTAGAGGAGATGTGAGTCACTGAGCATGCACGATTACAGAACCTCTGAGGGCTCCTGGGCCTCAGCTCTCTACTGGATTTCCAGCACCGCCTGTGTCACCATATGGCGTTCAGCTCCCAGCACCAACGTTATGTGACTCACGGCTACCTGTGACTTCAGTCCCAGGGGATCTTACACCCGATTCTGGCCTCCCAGGGCACTGCATTCATGCACATGCATGCACGCACACACATGCACATGCAAACGCACTTGTGCGTGCACACACACATGCACACATCCACACACTAAAATATTTTTAAAGAACCCTAAAAATAGGAACAGGTTATTATTTTACCTAATTCTGACTGTAATTAATCTGATATTTAAAAGGGATTTAGAGGGTCAGTTTTCATCTGTGAATTAATCAGAGATATGTCTATTCAAGCTGAAGAATCACCTGAGCTCTGTGTCTTCATAGAATATACTGCAACTGAAGAAAAGATTCTACTGTATTAAAGATTAGAGAAAATAAACTACTAATCTTCAGCTTTTAAAAATATGCATTGATAGATGACTTATGTTACTTTGGCGATGTAATGTTCCCTGTTATTAAATCTGGAATACACAGAGATTTTAAGATGGGCCACAGGAACTAGGACTCAGGAATTTCAACTGGGAGTGGAGATCAGCTGCTTCAGGGGCCTTGAGGCAGGAGAAGAACTCATTTTTCAGGACAAAGACCATCTCCATACAAACAGGTCTTGGCTTAATTTTGTAAATTTATTATTACTGTTGTGTGTGTGTGCATGTGTGTGTGTGTGTGTGTGTGTGTGTGTGTGTGAACACAGGTGTGCACACGCCACAGAGCACTAATGGAGATCAAAGACAGCTTTAAGTGGCTGTTCTGGGTTATGGGGAACTGAACTCAAATTCATGCAGCAAGCTCTTTCCCCTGCAGAGCCGTCTCTCTGGCCCTGTCCTGACTACTGTTTTATTTCTTTCCTAAACGAGGCTTTATTCTGGGAGCAAGGCATAAACTGACTGAAAATTTCCTTCTCTCTTGCTTTGTGCAGAACTAGAAATAAATTCTTTACTATTTTCTCTCTATTTTATGTCACTTCCTCTTTTTGCCAGTGAGCATTTGAACCTGGCGCCAGGCCTGACAAGCAGAGCTTTTGAGCACAGGCTTGTCCCTTTAAGATACTGGCCATTTTGGTGTCCGGTTCTCACAGCTGCACCCTCCTCCTGAAGAGCTCCTTCTGGAGCCTGGGGTTAAGGAGCCGCTCTGTGCTGTGGTTTTATGTATCTAATTTATGGTTCTCCCAAAACATGATTCCTCCATTCTCCTCCATTCTCCATTACATACAGTCTCCTGGATTAAATCGTGTGATATAAAACTCCCATCAGCTCCTGAAAGATTATAAAAGTCAGATATTTCCTTTGTTTGGGCAGTTTGTCTGAAGTTCCCTTCTCTGTCCCTGCCCCAATCTCATGACTGCTCTGTCTCTCTGTCTCGTTCTTATTGCTGCAAGCTGTCCCTCTTAATGAAGTCCCTCTCTGGAAGAAATCCCCTCTTTCCTGCACGAGACACACTAGAGGTCTGCTTCGGTTCTGCCAGCATCTCTCAAACCAAGCAAGTTGGTAAGACCAACCATCATGCTGCCACAGATGCTCTTGTAGCCACCTTTTCTATCTGGGTAGATATAGCAAAAGTTCCCCAGGAAACAATCAAGGCTTAAAACTGCTTGGCTACAGGGAAGAAAAAAAAATCCTTTAATAGAGACAACTTGTGCTTCTAAAAATAGCCTTAATATCTTTTTAATTAATTAAATATAGTTAATTAATCTTGCATCCTGGCCTCAGTTTCCCATCTCTTCTTTCCTTTCAGGCCCTCCCTCTCTGTCTCCATCCTGTAATCCACTTCTCCATTTCTGTTTAAGAAAGGGCAGACCTCCCAACAAACCATGGCATGTCAAGCCATGAGTATGAGTAAGCACCTCCCCAGTATGAGGAGTAGGGTCCCGAAAGTCAGCAAAAGAGTCAGAGACAGCCCCTGCTCCCACTGTTAGGAGTCCACAAGAAGATCAAGCTACACAACTGTGTCATATGTGTAGAACACCTAGGTCAGTCCCATGCAGGCTTCCTGGTTATCAGTTCCATGTTGGTGAGCCCCTATGAACTCAGGTGAGTTGATTCTCTGCCTTTTCTTGTCATGCCTCTGACTGCTCTGGATCTTTCAATCCTTTCTCCCCTTCTTCTGCAGTATTCCCCAAGAGAACAGGAGGAGTGTACACGACAACCAGAAAGCAGGAGCTGGTGCTAGCATGTGCTCCTATTCATATCACCACTGGTGACAGTGGACTGCATTGCCCAGTTGGAACACATGGAGCCACTGGACGGGCTAAAGATAAGATCCAATATGACATCTGGATTAGTTCATTTCCCAGCACACTTGTTGGCCAACTTACAACCACCTGTAAATCCAGGTCCAGAGGCTCTGATGACCTCTGCTGGCCTCTGTTGACACAGCACTCACGTGTGCAAGCACACACATAGTTACACCTATACATACATATACCCATAAAGCACACATTCACACAGAAACACAAGCATGCATACACATACTCACACAATAACAGAAATACCACACACTCACATACAAATTTGTCTGTGTATTTATACACAGACACACACATTCACAAACACACAGACATGATAGTAACACATATAAACACAAACACATATATGTAAACATACAAACAGATACACAAAAACTAGCATAAAATACACACAAAAAATACATCCCTCACACATATGCCCTTAAAAATAAAATCTTTGTTTTAAATCTTAGAAAAATGGTGTAATTACTGAATTCTATCAAGTGTTACAAGAGTACGGTTCCAAATGCTACGGAAGGGGGAATACTTTCCAAACATAAGAGGTTAATAAGTTATAATACACACAGCAAAAATACACATAGCAAAAAGTCTAAGATAAACATTTATGTCAATTTCATGACACAATACTAGTAAATTACATTAATATCACATTAAAAATATTGATCACTATGATTAAAAGGAACACATTCCAGGAAACTTAGCTTGTTATATACATATTTAAAAAGAAATGAAACCCATACAATTGTGTCTATATACATATCAAACCCATTTCACTGAGTCAGCATCTATCTCTGATAAACTATTTCAGCAAACTAAATATAGAAAGTCCATTTTCCTGCACAATAAGAGTTCTTGATAAGAGGACCCATCATATTCTCAGACATGTGAGCATCATACAAATAACATAAGAATGAGACAAGGAACAGCAGATGTGTAGAGGAAAGAAAAGAAACTATTCATTCCAGATTACTTATTTTACTGTTTCTTGAAAGAGGGTTCTCAAACCCAGTAATTTCTTCAGAGCCTCTGTGACATTCTTATTCCTCAGACTGTAGATCAG